GCTTAGGGCGGGCTTGAGATATAATTTAATATGCATAATTTATATCTGGGCTTTTTAGCCCGACCCGGATTAGCCAAAACCTGATGTGAGCTAACCTAAACCCGTTCAGGTAGCCTTTTTGACACCTCTACATACATATAAACATGTATATATATATATATACACACATCAGTCGAATAGAAATTCCCTCCACCATTTTGTATATCAAAAAACACATGTTCAAGGCACTTTTTCATATTATATTATATATATATATATATATAGATTTTGCTAACGTATGGAAAGTGGTTTTTTAGTTGGGGTAAATTAGCATTATGCACTAAAAATTTTGGACAAAATTAACCATAATGTTTTAATTGTAATGAAATTAGTAGTAGAGGTAATTTAATAATTTCCATTTCAAAAAAATTCACCCATCATCTCTAACCTTCTTTCTCCTCCCCATTAACCTATTTATTCCAAAATACCAAAAACCCCTCCGCCACAAGAACCGCCATCACCAATCGCCGCCACCCTTCACGTGAGTCCATGCTACTACATCGCCCAGGACTGTCCCACCACTGCCCACCATACCAGCAGAACCTGCATTGACGTGTGGACTGACATTGGGGTGAAAAGAATAAGTATGAGCAATTGATTCTAGAGTGGAGGCAATAATTCCTTTCTATTAATCTATAACTACGTGATTGGTCCTCATTGAAAAATAATGTCATTGTTTCTTTTTGTTCTTCAATTGAAAAAATTCAACCTTGTAGTGTCACTGTACTGTTGCTGTTTGCAGGCCGGGCGGTGGTGCGACGGTGAGACGATGCGGTGGTACAATTGGTGTATGGAAGTTCCGGTGGTGTAGAGGTGTCAAAACTGGTTATCCGGGCGGGTTCGGGTTAGCCCACATATGGTTCCGGTTAAACCAGACCGGACTAAAAAGTCCGGATACAATTTATGCATATCAAAATGTAGTCCAAACTCGCCCTAAGCAGATTGTGGGTTGTGGCAGGCCATACGGCATAATATTAAAAAAATTATTTAAATTTTAATATATTTAATATATATATATATATATATATATATATCATTTGATATTAATGCATACCTTTTTTAACACAATTGTTATACTCAATGCAACCAAACTTATAGATATAATGCCTTTTGTTTAAGACATGATGTCAAATCTACGTATATAATTCTTAACATAACTCATTTATTAAATATCTTATTTCTATTAGACTCTCAATCTCTGACACAATATAATTTGTAACTTTACTTCAATATACTAAATGAATACAGTAAAAAATAATATCACTTTGGTTTATAGTAATTGTAGTATAGACTCAAATTCAGAATGAATTCTATGTGTCGAAGTTTAACCACCATCATAATATTTCTTTACTTTGTGTATGAATATTTTTAGTATGCTCTTTACCAACACTTTCATTGCGAAATGTTATGTTAAATTTGATTGTGTAGAGTTCTCTATGGTAAACAATTAAGTTGTCTTTTTGTTTCGTTCTAAAAGTTATTTTCTTTATTATGTTTTTGTTATAGAGGTTAAATTTAATTAAATATAAAATTAAGAAAATAAAAATGGAATCTATATGGTTTAATGTTCTCATTTAATTTGATACATTATTTTGCTAATGTGCTTAAAAGGATATTAATCAAAATATGAAAAATAATATAAAGCTTAACTAGATAACATTATTGTAATTTATAAATATTTATGTTATAGATATTACTTTATATTTTATTCAAAATTCATAACACAATATTTATCATATATTATCTATTTTTTATTATAAGTTATTCTCTAAAATAATTTTCACATTAAGCTTATTACTAAGCCAAAAGTTCCAAAAAAATGTTTTAAAATAAGGAAAAACGGGTAGCCCGAACCCGCCCGAGCCCGATTTTAATATAGTTCGATCGGTCTGGGCTAAAAAGCCCATATTTACTAAAAAGTGTCAAATATAATACCTAAGCCCTACAAAATTTCGTGTTGTGGCGGGCCGGCCCGCACGGCCCCGCCCATTTTGACACATCTACGGTGGTGAATGAGTTTTTGTTGTTTTGGGGTTTATAGGTTAGTGGGGGAGGGGAAAGAAAGTTAAAGATGAGGAGTATATTTTTTTTATGGAAGTTATAAAACCACCCCTATTACTAATTTAATTACAATTAAAACATGGGGTTAATTTTGTCCAAAAGTTTTGGTATATAATGCTAACCTACACCAACTAAAAAATCATTTTCCATATGTTAGCAAAACATATATATATATATATATATATGTTATATCTTCAGTGATACCTATTGGTTGAAATGTTACAAATTAATTACCACATTATTTCTACATATGAATATTTTAGAATGTGCTTTATTTATTATTTAAATTCTTGGTGCTAGCAAATAATTAAAATAACATTCTAAAAATTATTTATTTGATCAAATTAAATTCTCCAACTTAATTATCAAATAATATAATTATTTAGCAAAGATTAGAACATTCATTAGTATGTGACCTCATAGGTTCAATACTAAGGTGGTAGTTAAATCATTAACTTCCTAATCAATGTTGGCGTCTAGTAACATTCCTTAACGACCGGTTAACATTAGTAATATATATTTCACATCCAAGAACCACTAGAAGATTAATTAAAATATTTCTTTCTATCTTCACAGCTCTGACTAACTTTAAAGTATTTTCAAACTTTAATAAGTTGTCATAATGACTCAAAGAAACTTATTTCTTTATTCATTGTAATACATCGGCCAATGTCTTATTTTATTGCAGAGCTCAAACTCATTTTGATGAATTCGTTCTTGGTTAATCATTAACTCTACAAGCATTTAATCATACCTAATATTCATTCAAATAACTTCACGAGACATTATGTGTCCGAAATCAAAGTATAATAAATAACATGTTAATTACTATGTTAATCACATGTCAAAGGAAACTATTTTATTTCCTATTGAGAATTTCCTATTTATAATTTAAGATAATCTTTTACCATTAGAAATTCTCATTTGAGTAAGTTCAATGATCATATTCATATATGCATCATCTATATGTGCAATTTAATAAATGAGATCTATTAATATTTATCCAATAAATACTATCGCAGATATATTGATCTAATCTATCCGAGTCATTGATGTCCTATTCTCAACGATTCTATAATCAAGAACAATTTAGACTGAAAATTATAAAAGACACGTTTCTCATTATTATAATCTTTATTATAATAACAAGTCTCAATTTTTAATCATGGACCTTATCATATAATATATTTAATTAAATAATCAATATGATATAAATAAATAGATACAATTATTTTAATTGTATTTAATGATAAATTTGGTCTTGAGCATAAATTTATAAATATACAAATATATTTCCAACAGCCGCAATATTGTGGTTGCGGCTGTAAACTCAATTGTAGTGTGACTCTGAATCACAATGATGTGGTCACATTGGGCCACAACGTAACCACATCGGACCGCATTTGGACCGCATCAGATTAAAAAATATTGTTTTAATTACAAAATAATTCACACCGCAATGGCCGCAATCTGTATTGCAATGACTACAATGATCGCAATTTTAGTAACCACAACTGTTACCGCAATGATTAGCATAATCGCAATTTAAACACTGTCGTGACCCTATTTTCGGTTGGAAGACCGGCCCTGCGACTTAGGGAGAGGCAAACTCGATTTCTACCTCTTCCAATTGATTTGGAGTCGCCACTACGTTTTTTGTGGTTAAAACGTAGAAAACTCTAAACATGCCCAATTAGGATAATTTGGTCTTTAATCAGAGATTCTGAGCTCGGGAGTCGATTACGGATCGGGGAAGGTATTAGCACTTCGTCCGCCCGTATTAAAACGGTACCCTCGCTAATAACATGGACTTTTATACCCTTAAAATTATTTATTAAAATTCAGTAAATAAAAACAAAATGTTTTATTTTTTATTGTTGTGCGTGACAAGAATTCAACTTGCTCCTACGTATCCCTAGCTGCAATAGGGAAATCAAGGCTACGTAGTTCTGGTTCGAAAATTAATTGGTTGGTTTCGTTGATTTGAAGGTATCGATTTGATTGGGTAATGAAATAAGTTTTTACTAAAACATTTTTGATATGGAATTAATAGTTTAGAGACGGCACTGGTCGTAGACCTCCTTCCCATTTTCAGAGAATTTAGAGACAACACGGGCCATAACCTTACTATAAAAAATTCCATTTTAAACCATTTGATTAAATTTATTTAAAATATTGGATATGAAATTAATAGTTTAGAGACGACACTGGTCGTAGACCTCCTTCCAATTTTCAGAGAATTTAGAGACAACACGGGTCATAACCTTGCTATAAAAAATTCCATTTTAAATCATTTGATTAAATTTATTTAAAATATTGGATATGGAATTAATAGTTTAGAGACGACACTGGTCGTAGACCTCCTTCCCATTTTCAGAGAATTTAGAGACAACACGGGTCATAACCTTGCTATAAACTCCATTTAAAATTACTTGAATAAACGATGATTATTTTTTGAAATATTTGATAAGGAGTTAATAGTTTAGAGACGGCACTGGTCGTAGACCTCATTCTCATTTTCAGAGAATTCAGATACAACACGGGTCATCACCTTACTATAAAACTCCATTTAAAAACTTTTGAATAAATAGTTAACTAAATATCATACATAAATAAAGACTACAAATAAGGAATAAAACATAATTAACAAAACATAATAAACAAACAAAAAAAACAACAAAAAAAAACAAAAAAAAACATGGGTTTGGTTCGGGCCCAATCAAACAAAACAGGATTGAAAGGAGAGGGGTCAGATTTGGGGTTTCCATTCTTTTATTTTGTGGTTCTGGGAGAAAGCAAAGGGAGAAGAAGAGAGAAAAGAGAAGACGAAGACGGAGAAAGGATTCACGGGTTTTCTCCTCCGAAGACGGCGGCGGTGTTTTCGTTCCGGCGGCGGGCTAATGAGGAGCTTCTCGTCTGCTCCAACTCCTACTCTCGGTTGTGTCCTTCTATTCCAGATTCAGAAAGGTATGAAAATCCTATTCCTCCTCTGCTTCTTTCCTCTTTTCCTTCTTAGAATTGTGAAGGAGATAGGAAACCACCACGACTGACTTTGTCCGGCCAGAACCACCATCGGCGGTGGTGAATCAGCGGGTACCAATATGGGTTCTTCATAGAACCCCGGTTTGAGCAAGGGTAACCTCCTAAGCCTCTACTTATCCTCTTTATTTTGTTAAAAATTTGAAATCAAAACCAAAAGATAGTGTACGATCTATAAACATATTTATGTGTAGGTTTTTTATGTGACTATGTGATTGCCTTACCTATGATTTACCTTTCGAATGCACGATTCACCTCTGTCTGGCTTTAATCTGACTAGAACTCCCTTTTCGATTGCTTTGGTTCGTCTTGGAATTATATCCTTATTCTTTGCTTCTGATTATCAACTTTCGTTCCTAATTAGCCTTTGTTTCTGCTTCTGAATTATTCCCTGTTTAATCTTTATTGTTGATATTCGTTATGAGGATATTGCTGTATAAGTGGTTGCTCTCTTCATGTATGTGACTTGCTGAGTTTTCTCTTATGTGCTATCTGTGTGTATGATTGGCTTTGTATACCTATGGTGTGTGATATGTGTGTATGGACTGCTGGTTATCGGAGGAGGGATGGCTTGTGTGTATGAGAGATAGCAGAGGCTGGTTATTGCATAATGTGTGTCTTTTTAAACTAAGGAACATGTGTATGATGAAAATGAAAATAAGAAGATTTTCTGGTGGTTATGTTATGAGTGTGGGTCTTTGGTTTGCTATGTGTGGTATCAGTGTGTATTCCATGTGTATGTTATAGGTGTATGAATGATATGCATTCTGATAGCTCCTCCTCTTTTATCTTTTGTTTAGCTATCCTTTTATAGCCCATTATCTGTCTTTTGGCTGCCCATCAGGAGCATATAACTCTCCTTATTAATCCTTTTCCTAATCAATTAATAAAAGGGAAAAAAAAAACCACCCATTGATGATCGTGATTACAGCTGCTGAAACTGAAACCATTACTCTTGGTCTGATTGTCTTTTTGTGTGCCTTTGAAACTGCCCTTTATTGTCATTTATGCTATTTGATTGGGAGGATTGTAACTGAGATGCTGCCATATATTTGTTACTGCCCCATTCTTGCAATTATGATGACTTATGGTTGTCCATATTCCTCTTAATCTATTTCATGACTGCTCTAATTATAACTTCCTGGGTTTGTAGGTTTTGAAGCTGGTTGAGGCTGTGGAGCCTTTTGCTGCTTGGGCATTAGGCAACAATTTAGCACCAAGGTTCTTTGTGAGAAAAATATGGGAGCATAATAATTTACCAATTCGATGCACTGCTTCTTGAAAGAAAGCATTTGGTAGCACATATCACGAAAGGTTCCAATGATGTCATTTTGGTTATTCTTATCCTCCAGATAATCAAGTGCCTCAATTGTATATTGCTCACAAAGTGCACCCCCATCTGTTTTTCTGTTTAGCATCAAGATTGTTGTGTCATCGCTACTCTTTTCAGTGTTTGCAATCGCAAGTTGTCTTGCGTCACAAGATCAAGTAGCACAGAATTAGAAACAATAGCCCCACTAATCTTTCTGCCATGGTGCCTTATGCATGCAGTAGAAGAAGAAGAAGATAGGGCAATGTGTATAGGGTGCTACTATGAGAAGGTGTCAAAGAAAGATGGTCATATTCTTTTGAATATTGTACTGGAACACGTAATGGTTGTTTTATTAGGTGGTAGTGGTTGTTGTTGAAACTTTTCTATTGCAGACATTTCAGATGAAATATTTGGCATGCTCAATTGATGAACCAGAGGATTATGTCCTTTTTTATGTCAATAATATTCTTGCCACAAATTATACCTCAAATTAAACCAATGCCACATAGAAAACAAGTCTTTAATAAGTAATACCTACTAGACAACCCATAATACATGACACTGTGACACATTACGTGAAAATTGGTGATATAAGACCAATTACATCACTAATTATCACACTTCTTAGCTAATACAATTTTAACTCCCTTAGTACATTCAACTTCCTGCTTTGGATTTATACATGAGATTCAGGAACTAGAAAAAATGTTTTTGAATCAAACTCTATGTGTTTATCTATGTTCATCACAATAATTCTAGAGTAAGATTTATCCGAAATAACTTCGTTGATACAAAGGTTTTGCGACTCATAGTTTACGATTGAATAATCATAAGAGACACAAATGGTTCAAAGGTCTCCAAAAAATAAAAATATTCTCTTTTCTTCACAAAAGAACTGTTGACACCTTCTTTGAAAGTATTGTAAATAGGCCGGACAAAATCGGGTGTTCACAAACACTAATAGTCTTGCTATTTTCATTTGCAAAAAAAGGTTAGTTTGGTTCTGTTTTTCTCTCTTTGGTCCTTTGAACTTTGATTTTGTCTCACTTTGCCATAAGTTTATTTTCGTTTGTATCATTAGCCTCTATTTTTCACATGATGCCGTTGGAATATTTTGTTAGACTAATAAAATAAATTTTTTCATATAGTGTCAACTTTGTGAATGAGAGAGAAAAATATTTTTGTACTAGTATTTATGAAACAATGTAAAGGTGTTAGTAAAAGTTAACATTAGAAGTAATGGTACGAATAAAAATAAAAATAAAAATTGCTGAGTTTTGGAGGGAAATGAAAGACTTTGAAACTATTTCACTAATGTATTTTATGACTTTCAAGTTTTTTTTACTCACTCCCCTTCAAAATTTAACTCGCAAGCATACCTTAAAAGATCAATGTACAAGAAGGCAACATTTATTGAATGACACTAATGCTCAATCATGTCTATTGAAAATATATTATCTTTAAATATTTTGTATTGTTTCACTTATCTTATTTTTTTCCTCTTCCTTATAGGAATTGAACTAATTTTCATTTAATGTTTTTCCTTATCAAAATTTCTATCGGTCTCTTTCACATATATCATAAGGCATGATTCTACCATATCAAATACATTTGTTTTTAATCTTATCATATCTAATATTTTCATTCATCCATCGCAACTTTCTCATTTTTGCAATATAAAGTTTATTCTTTTGATAACATTTTGTCGCTCAACATTTATTAGTCCCATATATCAATTTGTCTTATAAGGTAAAATTTTCAAAGCTTGAGAGAGGTACATTATAATGACATGATAAAACTCACCCTTAAGAGACCAAAATAAAATGAACACTAAAGTTAAGGGAACAAAGTAACTAATTTATCAATTTCATATTCATGGGTCTGATAGTTTTACATCTTCACAGACATTTTTCACTGTTTATGCCTAATGTCTGAACATGTTAAGGGACATATGTAAGATGATACATCCAACTAGATCGTGGATTTTGCTCATTCAAATATACATTATTTGATTGAGGAGAGATCCATTTACTCTAAGAGTAAGTAAAACTTATTACACATCTTAGCCATCAATTCTAGATAAATCCAATAGTTTAGATCTACTTACTAATTCAAACCATTGGATTTCCTTAGAATTGATGGCTAAGATGTGGAGTAAGTTTAAAAAACTTACTATTGAGTAATTAAGTAGATCCCTCCCTGCTTGATTTGATGCATATAAATATTATCAACATAAGAAGTTAACAATCTACCTAATATTATCTTAACTTCATTCTAATATTTTTATGCTATAATATGTTTGTTTCCCTTCCAACATATATATCATTGTAATTTGCAAACCATTTATAGTCTTGTTACAAGCCAAACCATTGCTTTGACACCCATATATGTCCATTAATGTATCCACGTTTACTCTTTCTCATTAGCACAAATACATGTCATTGAGAAAATATGACCATATTTATGAAGTTTTTGTATAAATGTAACCCTGGAGTAAAGTTCCATCCTAGTGTCAGGACCAGGACCAGTAAATATTAGTCTACCACAGTGAGTGGAGCGAAAAACATAAGAAACAATATTTGGTTGTATAAGACTATCAGAAGGCCGACTCAACTTTGGGAAAGGACGACAATGACAAGACAAAGTTGAGTCAACATCTACTATATTGGAAAACTGTTAGGCATGACATCGAAGAGAATGTAGAGGAAATTGGGCCTTACTCTAAACGGGTCAGGAACCCTCCACTATGGATGGTGGACTATGTTCAGAAATAAATAATTGGGAAGTGCTCATATTATTAGTATATTTAGTAATGTTGTTTTACTTTAATTTACCAGCCCAAGATATGAGTCCAAATGGTCATAATTTGATTAGGGTTTTTACCTATTTCTGTATTTAAAGGACTGCAAAGTTAATGGCAGCCATATATGAAAAATCTAGAGCTTTGCTCATTTTTATTGTTTCCTTCATAAAATTATTCACTGTTAAGGTAGCTCTTAACAATTTGGTGCTTTCATCTCTTCCTCATGCCTCCAAAACCAAGTTCTCACCCTGTAGAGTATCCATTGACAAGTGTGCTAGAGAAATTAGCCTCCATGGAACTCTAATTCACTGCTCGTCAGGACCTACTACAACAAGTCATGTTTTCTAAACATGAAGAACTTCAATCTGTGATTTCAGACCTAAAATCTAATATCCAACCAAAACCTCCTCCTCACAACCCCCAACCTTCTTCCCCACCTGGATTTTCACAACAATCTAACTCTCCCTTTAATCTATCAAATACCTCATCCTCTTCACACAACCCTTACCCAAACCTCAAACCCCCAAAACTAAACCTAAAACCTTTTGATGGCTCTGAACCTATGGACTGGATCTTTCAGGCGGAACAATTTTTCCATTTCTACCAGATTGCCCCTCATCAAAGGATGGATTTGATGCCCTTTTCTATGCAAGGGGATGTCCTCAGCTGGTATAAGTGGATGTTTCAAAACCACCCGCTTACCTCTTGGGAAGCTTTTACCCGAGATTTGCAACAACGTTTTGGGCCATCCTCCTTTGCTAATCATCAGGCTGAGTTGTTCAAACTCAAGCAGATTGGCAACATTACAGAGTACCAAGGTCGTTTTGAATGGTTGTGCAACAAGGAGGTAGGTTTTTCACCATAAATGATTTTAAATTGTTTCCTTCCTAGACTTAAGCCTGAAATTAGCAGAGAATTAGCAATATTGCAACCTATTTCAGTTAGTCATGCTATTAGACTGGCTAAATTAATTGAAAGTAAACTTGATGATATGTGCACCATCCCTCGTTTCACTCGAAACCCAATACAGACCCCAATACCCTAGTCCATTCCACCCAAAACAATTCCCACTAATGGGATCCCAATTAAACGCTTAACATCTGCTCAGATGCAGGAGCGTAGAGCTCAAGGCCTATGTTACAAATGTGATGAAAAGTATGTGTTTGGCCATCGTTGTCAACCAAAGAAATTTTTTCCGTTGTTGGTGGATGAAGATCCATCAGAGCTATGCAGTTTGGAACTATCCCTAGACTCTGATACACCAGTAGTAGCTGATGGACAACAAGAAAATTATGGGGAGTTTGTTCATTTTCAATTATCTGCTTAGGCTTTGCAAGGAAATCCTTCTCCCCGCACACTTAAGTTTCAAGGATTTATTCAGGGTCAAACGGTAAATGTTCTAGTTGACACCGGAAGTTCCCATAATGTGATGCAGCCACGTGTTGCTAATTTCTTGAAGCTAAATATATCATCAACCCCACACTTCCCTGTGATGGTTGGAAATGGTGAACATATTTATTGCACTGGGATATGCAAAGACACCCCATTGAAGGTACAACACAACCATTTCCATGTGCCTTTTTACTTGTTACCTATTCAGGGAGTAGATTTAGTTTTGGGGATTGAATGGCTTAGGACTTTGGGTCCAATTACTTCAGACTTTTCTATACCATCTATGACCTTTTCCCATGAAGGGTCCACAATTACCCTTCAAGGACAAAACACAAACACTCCCTCATATTCCTCATTCCACCAACTCTGCCGCATGAACCATACTGAATCCATAGCAGAATTATTCTGCATTACCATACCCAACATAAATCCAAAGACCCCTACACACCAAAAACCCCAAACACTAGACACCAACTCTCCCATAGACCCAGAACTTCACAAACTACTAGACCAATATGGAGACATTTTCACAAGTCCAAAAGGACTACCCTCAGCCCGACCCCATGACCATCACATAATCCTAACTCCCAACTCTCAACCAGTTAATGTGAAACCTTATCGTTACCCACATGCTCAAAAGGATGCTATGACAAAGCTATTGACTGAAATGCTTCAAGAGGGGATTGTTGTACCAAGTACCAGCCCATTCTCTTCCCCAGTTCTACTAATGCGAAAAAAAGATGGAACATGGCGTTTTTGTGTTGATTATAAAAGTTTGAATGCTATAACTGTAAAAGATCGTTTTCCCATTCCAACAATTGATGAACTTCTAGACGAGTTGGGAAGTGCATAGGTCTTTTCAAAAATTGATTTGAGGTCAGGCTACCACTAAATCAGAATGCATCCTGAAGGCACACACAAAACAACTTTTTGTACATTTGATGGCCATTACGAATTTTTGGTAATGCCGTTTGGGCTTACTAATGCCTCTTCAACTTTCCAATTAGCTATGAATGATTTACCTTATCTCAGAAAGTTTGTGTTGGTTTTCTTTGATGACATTTTGGTTTATAGCCCGAGCCAAAAGGAGCACCTTATTCATCTACAATTGGTATTAGATTTATTATCTATCCATCAATTTTATGCTAATATGTCTAAGTGTGTTTTTGGTACTAAAGAAGTTGCTTATTTGGGGAAGGATTTAGAGATAAGAAAAATGAATTGGTTCGGAAGAGGGCGCCGAGAAAAGAGACTATATGTGTTTGTTTAGCAAGAATGAAAATCTACATTGACAAGGAAAAAAGAGATTGGTATGTTAGTTATTTTGTTGATGAACATAATCATGAACTGGTTGGTGAACATTATGGTGCAATGATAGCCTCTAACCGAAGAGAGACATGGCTCAGATGAACACAATGAGAGAAGTGGACATTGGGACATGAAAAAT